GGGTACTCATTAGCATGGGCCTTAAACCCTGAACCCCTGAAGTGGATATGGAAGGAGAGTAATTAGGGGTGAAAACTTTCATTGAGACTGCTCAGGCTCAGTCTCCATCTGCACAGTCACAGGGTATCACAGGGTTGCGCATTGGCGTGATTAACGACATGGATCCAGATCATGGGAGAGCGAGGCACCGCTGTTTGATGCACAAAAGCGGCCCTGGAAAAAAAACATACAAAGCAGCTTCTAATGTAGGTGCTTCGGGTGGACGTCATACATGAGCACAACTGCATGGAGGAAAAGGGGAAGATCTTGTGGCTTTGACTTTGAAACTCAGCGGTCACATGCATAGATATTTTTTCTCCTTACACGCCGTAGTACGTTCTGGTTACCGGAGGCATCTGCCATGTTATGTACTGCATTTGCACGTTAGCTCCCCGGAAATATCTCTGGTGATTCCTTTTGCATTTACTTTCGCAGCTGGAAAAATTAACCCATCAGAATGAGTATTGTAAAGCACGGTCAAACCATACAAAAAACCTAAACCCTAAAAGCTTTGAACCCTAATTACGTATATCAGCTCAAAAAGCTGGTCTATCAAGGTTTGGCGTGAACGTGCCCCACAAGAGAGGGGCCCTGGTCCAAGCCTCAGGTTCTTGTGTTGGGATTGGTTTAGGGTCTGGGGTAGTTCAGGTCATGGTATAGGATTTCATCTGTGTGGGGATGTGCGGTAGCTCTGATTATGCTTGCGAGGGACGCTTTGCAGAGACGAAGAACATCCGGCTTAGGGCAACTATATGGAGTTTGGAGGACGAAGCACTTGTGTGTGTCTGAGAGAACCTCATTGCAAGTGCCCTCGAGGGGCAGAAAAATCTATATCTCAGACATCATTACCTGCAATAGACTCAAAGACTTTAAGTTTATACCCTTCATGTTTGTAACCAAAGGTTTTAGGTCCCAAACACCCTTATTTATGGCGATGTTCCATGGTTTAGCGACCCAAAAAACCAGGGGTACAAACCCTAAGGCCCTATGGGTACAGGAAACCCTAAACCCTCAACCCTTAAAAACCCTCAACCCTAAAGACATCATTTGCCGTGCCTGCACTGCTGTGCGATGCGCGTGTCTAAACCCTAAACCCTCAACCCTAAACCCTAAACCCTCAAGCGCTGTATGGCCATGCAAGTGGCGAAACCCTCAACCCCAAACCCTTAAACCCTAAACCTAAAGCTCCCATAAGCTGCAGCAGCGCAAGTGATGTCAGGGAAAGGGATGGCACCACAATTGAAAGGAAAACTCCCTGATAGACCTCGCATCCCCTGAAGCTCTAAGCTTGAAAAACCCTTTGGGGTTTAGGGTTTAGGGTTTAGGGTGTGCCTTTGTTTGACACTCCAGTTAGGCAGATTCCAAGGGGCCTTTTGGTGGAATCCTTCCGATCCCTTAAACTCTTGAGCCCCCAAAACCTACACTACAATCTTCATAACCCCCTACAAGAGTAACATAGAGTAACCATGTTTCCAGTTAATTTGGCCCCTAAACCTTGAGACATAAGCCTGAAGATCTAAACCCCGAACCCGACACCCAACACCTTATACCATTTTTCCCTATTCTTACAGCCCCTGGTACCTCATGAAGTCTTTCATTCACATCACTGCCGCCCAGGGTGGCACAACCGATGTAAGACCAGGTTGCGAGGATGAAGCGCGCGACGCCTCAGTGGAGTTTGCTCATTTGGGGGGTTTTAGGGGTTTAGGGTTGGTTAGTAGGAGATAGGGGAATATGTTATATAGGGTGTAGGGTTAGTAGGGAAGAAGGGAACTGATTATGAAGGGTTTAGGATTTAGGGTTAAGGGTTAATAGTAGGGAATAAGGGAAGAATTCATACATGGGCTATTTCTTTATATCCTGCTAAGCACCCTTCAGTTGGGGGATTATCTAAGGGGGATTCAGGGCTTGAGGGTAAGAACTGCGGGCCCCCAGTATGGGCCAATAATCATGGGGTCCTGATGAAGCCCTAGAAACCTGATGAAGGACCCATAGTTCAAGACTAAGGTGTAGGGATTTATGGGTTTACAGTCTGAAGTTGAGGGTTTAGGGAGGGTTTAAAATTCGGGTCGGGTCTAGATAGAGTTGAGGGTTTAGAGTTTATGGTCCTGCAGTTTAGGATTTAGGGTCCAGAGTTAAGGGTAGAAGTCCAGGGTTAAGGGTCCAGAGCTTCGGGTACAGAGTTTAGGGATCTAAGGTTCATAATTGAGGGCCAGGAAGAGTTGATGGACAATGTGGAGGCATGCTGAATATCAGAAGGAAGACTGGGGCGTTGAACATGCTACTTACCTTTTTGGGAACCTTTATATGAGAGATTGTGAAGATCACCCATCTGCACGCGATATCATCACTACTTCAGGGAACGCTTTTGTGTTTTGAGCTTGTCGTTTGCATTTTTTGGTCGGGCCTATGGAGAATTCGGTATGTGGGGAGAGAGAGTTCAGAATACTGAACAAGGATGTTGCATGGAATGGCCAGCTTCGGTTTGCAGAAACTCTCTACTTGTACAAGGCTGTACAGGTTCATGGTGCCTTTCCCAATCATCCACCTACATGTTGGTCTAATGAGGATCCAGGCATGGTGTAGTTTTCAGATAAGGTTCATGGGCCGGACTTTGTGCTTGAAAGCCTTGGCCTCGACTACAGCGGGGATGGATCTGAGACAGGTGAGTAATGTGTAATCTGTCCAGATCCACCGCAGCTGTACTTACAACTAGCGTTTGGCAGTAGGTTTACAAGTAGAATAAGGAACAAGATGCAGATGCAAGCAGGGCTGCGAGAGAGAGAGAGAGAGAGAGCATTCCTGGATAAGTCATGATAGCACTTCAAGACCTTCTGCTGAGTGCTGCAGCGGCAGGTTATCTGGCACGTGTGGCTTCTGGGTTCAACAGCGTTTTGACTTCCCAAACGCCGTAGTCTTCCCTGCCGCCCCTCGATCCTTTCAGTTCATCATGGCACTCATGAACCGACGCTGCGTGCTTCACTTGGTGGGATCTCGTTCGGAGGAGTTCTACTTCGACCTGAGCGTTCTCTACGCCAAGGTGCTGAGGGAGTTAAGCTCCATAGGCGACTACCTGACTAGAAATCCTAGGAATTTCCTTAACCCTAAACCCTATAAGGTAGTTTCCCAAAATCAGGGGACCCCAATATAGACCCCAAAATACTATAGTCCTTATTATAGGGACCCCCAAAAAGGTATCCCTAATTTTGGGAACTACCCTATAATTAGGCATGCGACGACTGTGCGGACCTAGACCGTACACGCTTCGACTTCCACTTCGCTGTGGTGCACCTGGATGGAAACTAGGCCATATTTGGGGGTTTCCCAACATTAGGTGTACCTTTCACAGGGCCCTATAGGGATTTTCATGGATATGTGTATTTAGGGATTATGGGTTAGGGTGTCCCAAAATTAGGGGTTCCTTTTGGGGGGTCAAAGTAATAAAGGACTATAGTATTCTGGGGTCTATAATGGGGTCCCCTACTTAGGGAAACTACCAATTTCATGACCTCTAATACTCAATCTCCCAACCCGGTGACAATGAACATTCCAAATATAATACAGTGCCATTGCATATTCGAGATAAAGTCCTCATGAGAGGGGTTGAGGGTTACCATTAGTGGGCCATACTTCAGGACCGGAGGATCTCCCCTATTTCAAGGACCATATGAGGAGTTTAGATTGTAGCTCATATGGAACAGTCTACAGTGTCCTTGAGATGGAACATTTGATGCCTATGGACTTTGTTCCCTTTTTTTGTTTGAAAGCTGATTACCCACTGAAGCATGTTCGGACAACGGCTGTATTCACGGTTTTTGGTAGGAATTTACAATGGGTGTTCCATACAGGATTTCTGAAATTCTCCTGTTTTCAGACATGAACCGATGCAATGGGGAGCGTCAGGTTGCTTACCGCCTACCTAACAATTTAAGAATTACGTATATTAGCATATTATGGTATAATGATCATCGCAATAATAGTAATCATATTCATAATGCACATAGCCCCCCTCACCACCTCACAACATTTTATCAAGCAGGGCAAACATGTTAGAAGACATATGTAATGTACGTTGTGGTTAGATTTTGAAATCAGGGGCAAGCCGTTCACAAAGAACAACATGAGCCTCAAAACCTGATATCGAGAACCCTCAACCCCGAAACCCTTGAGCCTTAAGCGCCTCAACCCCAAACCATACACCCAGCATAGACCCTAATAGCCCTAACCCTTAAACCTTAGAAATCCGTAGAACCCGACCCAAGCCCTAAACTCTAAATAGACCCCAAGACCTTAACCCTTAAACCCGATAAATTTGTAGAACCCAAACCCTAAAATCCATATTGAATCCTAAGCCCCTAACTCTGAATCGCTTAGGAGGATCCCAAACCCTGCAATAGTGACTTTAAGCGATAATGGTGATTATATTGGGCTCCTCTTGTATTCTTTTTATACCACTAGTACAGGGTCCTCCTAATGAATCCCCGAATCGTAAACGCCTAAACCCTAAACCCCTAAACCCTAGACCCCAAACCCTCCTCTGAAAATCTTGGAGCTTAGGAAAGTGGAGCTTCCCAGCCTCCCTGGACGCGAAGGATCTGGCCCGAGCCAAGCGAGTGTCCTTTGCCCAGGCAGTGCAATACATCACCAGGCTCACTCCGTGGGAATAGGGGCGTGGAGTGTAGAGTTTGGGATTTAGGGTGTAGGGTTGAGGGTTTGGGAGTCCAGGTGTAGCGTCTAAGGTTTGGGATTTATTGGGATTTAGGGTTTAGGGTTTGCGGAGGGTCTAGAAATTCGGGTAAAAGGGGAGGTCGAAGGGAACACCGAACATGTAATGGAAACTGGGTTCTATGGGATCTTGTTTAGGGATTACATAGGTCTTTGTTGGAAGTTTCCTTTTATACCTTAAAGCTTATGCTAAATGCCAGGAAGGAACATCAAATTAGTATTCCCAATATTTGGGGCAACAATCAGTTCCCAGGCAGCAGTTTGGAGGGTTCAAGGTTAGCCTTACTGTCGACTGGGAAGTCTTGGGGGTTTCGAGTTTGGTACATGAGTTATTCTCACTGGCTTCGGACAAAGGTCTTCCCCAACATAATTTTTTTGACCGCTGTGTGCACCATGAGGCTGAGCCCGGACGTCATTGTGCCGCACATGTTCTGCGTGGAGGGCATGACACGGTACCGCTCCTTGGTGGACCTCCTCCAGATACTCGGGAGTTCAGCAGGTAATCTTTGACTTTAAATCCCTAAAGCAATCCAAAGGTGAGCCTAGACTTCAGCCACAAAGCCCAATGTCTGCTACTATTATGAAAACATTTCTTAGTTTCCATCAGTAGGGGGACCGAAATATAGATCCCAAAATTATACACTCCTGACAATGGGCGGGTCCTTTAAAAGGGTACCCCTCATTCTGGGAAGCCCCATTTTAACTTCTGAGAAGTGAGGATTCCCATGCTTGGCAACCATGAGTATACCATCTGGCTGGCCACGGACAAGGCTATCACAAAGCAACTCTTAGCGGCAAATGGCGTCTCCGTGCCCAAGGGTGAGCTGTTGGAGAAAGGCATCCACGAGAGACCATGCAACATCAAGGTGCCCCTGGTGGTGACTGGGTTTTGCATAGAATCATTTCTACTATGCGAAGGGGCTGGAGTAAGATGTTTTTTCAGAGGAGCCCTGAAGATAACTCAGGTGAAGCCTTGCAATGAGGACAACTCCCGGGGCATCACTCTGGTGAAGAGGGAGGAGGATCTCGCAGCCGCCATTGACTACGCCTTCAGCTTCGACCCACGCGTGGTAGTGGATGAGTACATTGCAGGTCGCGAAGTGCGTGCTGCATGCATTGAGGAAGAGGACGGCAGCCTCACGGTCCTGCCCAAGCTTGAGTACTTCCTCAAGGACATCCGCACTGCAGCCCACAAGCTTCAGACTGACAGCAGCGGCAAGCTTTCCACCAACGCCATTGTGGCCGCGAAGAAGGACGGCGACCGCCACTTGGCCATTGTGGATACGTTTTGCCGGGACAATGATTTTGATTTTTTATGCCATCTGCGACAAATTAAAATTCTGCAATGATGAAGGTCAGTGCCCGGCTGATCTCAGCCCGCTCCTGCACCAGCGCATCGATGCCATGATCACCAAGGCACACCGCGTGCTGAACTGCAGGCACTACTCCCTCTATGACTTGCGCATTGACCCTTGGCAGCAGCCATGTTTGGGAATAGGATATCAGCTATAGTAATACTCTAAAGTGCAGTATCCCCCTTATTAGCCCCTATAATACTCCCCTATATAATGCCCCTTTATGAAGTTCAGACTACAGCTCAGATATCAGCAAGAGGGGAGCAAAGGTTGCCGCAATCTCAGTAGAGCCACCTTCAGGAATAAATAGGAACCCCCAGACCTGGAAGAAGAAGCCCAGGACAGCAACGAGCAGCCCTACATCCTTGAGGCCGCTTTCTTCTGCGCCTTGGCTACAAACTTCACCTTTGCTGTTTAGGGCTTAGGGTTCTGTACAGTGCTAGCTGGTCAGGAATTTGTCACATGGCGGCTTCTTCAGACATGCCACGTCTAAATGAAAGATAGTTATGAAGCGGCGCCTGTCGACCACTCTCCCGGAAGCCGATGCCCGTATGCTAGTTTCCCAAAATAGGGGGACCCCTATATAGATCCCAATGCAACATAGACCTTAGGATAGGAACCCCACCCCTAAGTTTGGGAAACCCCCGTATAAGAAAGGCTCCTTTTCGCCACTCTCTGTGATTCCATCCATGGCCAATGCCTCGGGCCGGGAGGATCTCAAGTCACACGGCCTGCATGAAGGGGTTATATAGGGGATATAAAGTATGGGGATATTGGGATACTGGAAAATAATGCGGAAACTCCAATTTAGGGTTCAGGGTTTAGAGTTGAGGGTTTAGGATGTAGGGTCTGTCATGGGTACAGCTGCGCCGATCACGAGCAATTCCAGGCGTCGTCGCATGCAAGCCTGTTGCAAAAAGGGT